GACCAGGAGGATAATGAGCTTCAGTCACTTGCTGCTTTGTTCGTTTATCTGAAAGAACAAAAGAAAAGTAAGTCCGATCTCATCCTACTTCGTCCCCTGATCAATCACATCAGAATCAAAGGGTTGTTAGATTGTGGAGCCACCAAGAACTTCGTCTCCCAGTGCTGTCAAGAAACTGCACTTGGGCATGAAAGTTCAACAACTGCTGCCTCCGTGTAAGTCAGGATAGGTGACTCCACTGTCCTCACCATCAGGGAGAAGGTCAGGGGTATACCTGTTACCTTCGAAAGTGTTGGAGAAGTCAGACATTCCCTGATCTACCCTTTGATCTGGTATTCTCTATACAGTGGCTGAGGGCGGTCAACCCTAGGATTGACTGGCAGATCCCTAAGGTTGAACTCCCCAATGGGCAGGGGGTGTATCAGCCTTGCATGATAGCCGCTGATCACCACCCTAAGACTAGTTGCTACTGTTTGAGAGCGAGGGAGTTTTATTCTTTCTCGCGCCAGTATGACCACGAGCGTCTGTTTCTAGCTCTGGTCAAGCAAACATACATTGCATCTGTTTCATGTCCTCCGAGGGAGTTTTATTCTCTCTCGCGCCAGTATGACCACGAGCGTCTGTTTCTAGCTTTGGTCAAGCGAACAGACACTGCATCTGTTTCCTGTCCTCCTGAGATACAGCAGGTTGTGGACCAGTATGTCGATCTGATGCAGGAGCCCTTTGGATTACCCAATCGGCCAACCAAGCATCACATTGAGCTGCTACCTGGAGCGGTCCCTCCTAAGGCCCGCATCTACAAGATGTCCCCTGCTGAGCTTGAGGAGCTCAGAAAGCAGTTAGAGACCCTGCCCAGCAAGGGCTGCATACGACCGAACACATCTGAATTTGGCGCATCAGTGCTCTTCGTCCCGAAAGGGAATGGAGAATTTAGAATGTGCATCAATTACAGGAATCTCAATAAGATCACTAGAAAAAGTACAGAGCCTATTCCTAGGATCGATGACCTTCTAGATATGGTACAGGGTTGTACAGTGTTCAACAAAGTCGATCTCAAATCTGGGTACCATCAGATTGAGATGGCAGAGGAGGATGTCCACAAGACAACCTTCAAAACCAGATATGGTACTTACGAGTATCTGGTTATGCCATTTGGACTTTGCAATGCCCCAGGTACCTTCCAGACTGAGATGCACCGCATCTTCAGGCCTTACTTGGACAAGTTTATGGTTGTCTATCTAGATGACATTCTGATATTCAGCCGGACTATCAGGGAACATGCGGAGCAGTTGGCTCTAGTTCTTCAGTCATTACGTGACAACCAGTACAAAATTAACAGGGAGAAGTCCTCTTTTGGGGTTCCCTCTGTTATCTACCTGGGTCATGTAATCTATGGAGATGGTTTGGCTCCTGAAGCAACCAAGATACCTGCTGTTCAAGAGTGGCCACAACCTCAGACAGTGAGAGATGTTCTGTCCTTCATGGGTTTGGCCTCGTACTACAGAAAGTTTGTCAGAAACTTTTCTGCAGTGGCTACACCCCTTATCAACTTAACAAAGAAAGACACTCCTTTCCTTTGGTCTCTTCCCTGTCAGTTGGCCTTCACACGACTCAAGAAGGCCTTGACTCGTGCACCAGCGCTGAAGTTGCCTGACCCCACCTTGCCATTCATCCTGACCACTGATGCCAGTCAGTATGACATTGGGGTAGTTCTTCACCAAGATGATGGGAATGGTCTACGACCTGTAGAGTTCATGAGCAAGAAGATCAAGACTCGAAAGCTTCAGCACTCTACCTACGAGAAGGAGCTATATGCTCTTGTCTGTGCCGCACTTTCCTTTGGGAAGACACTTCAAGATCTTCTTTGATCATTCCACCTTACAGTGGATGAAATCCCTGGGAGATTTGAATGACAAACTGGCACGCTATATTCAGTTCATTGACATGTTTGACTTTGAATTGAAACATAAGGAGGACTGCTACAATAAGGTAGCAAATGGCCTCTCTTGTAGGTCTGACTCTTTTGCACCGATCTCCTCCACTCACTCCTTTGGAGAGGAGACCCGTCAGACCATTGCTCGTCTACTGCCTTAGAACCCGACTTATGGACCCATAGTCAGGAATTTGCAAGTGGATCGGAATTCTGAACCCGACTACGCCCAAAGTTCAGACTTGCTGTATACCTACAGCAGAGGTGAGGAACGCTTATGCATTCCCCAGGACCAGCGACTCAGGACACTGCTGATGTCAGAGTGTCATGATGCGCGCAAACATTTTGGGTTCTTAAAGTCATATGCTGCCCTGTCGCAGCGCTTCTTCTGGAAGGAGATGCGGAGTGATCTGCTACACTATGTCTAAACCTGTGAGCTTTGCCAGAGAAATAAGGTCCAGCGTAGACCTCCTCTGGGACTGCTCAAAACCTTACCCATACCTGATGGTCCTGCTGAATCTGTGTTATTGACTTCATAGATCTAGGCAAGACCACCCCTCGTGGCATGCGTTAGGTAATGGTCTGTGTGGACAGGTTCTCTAAGTACGCAAAGTTCATCCCCTTGCCAGAAGTAGCTAGGGTTCCCGCTGTGAGAGCAGCGTTTTCAGAGAGGTGGGTTACTCACCATGGACCGACCACTTCTATAGTCAGTGATCGAGATCCACGATTCTGCAGCAAGGAGTGGCAATCCTACTGTAAGGATTACCTACACTCACGACTGGACATGACTTCTGCTCATCACCCTGAAGCCAATGGTCAGGCTGAAGTGATGAAGCAGGTACTGTTCCAATTACTACGTCCTGTCATCTCCCCAGATCAACAGGACTGGGATCTCCACTTGGCTCGTGTCGTGCACAGCTTGTATAACACGTCTATCCACTCCTCCACTGGGTTCAGCCCATACCGGTTGCACTGGGGATGTGAACCACGACAGCCTCTCAATGATATCATCGATAAGGCTAAGTCTGATCTGACACCAGGCACTGCAGAGTTTGCTAGACGCTATCGCATAGATGTGGAAAGAGCACGGGGGAACTTGGTCAAAGCTCAAAAGGCTATGATTGAACAAGTTAAACGCCATAGGCGGCCTTCCTCCATCCGTTATTGACTATGTCTGGGTGGCCAGTTCTGAGTTGTCGAGGGAGGAGGATATCTCCCCCGAGCTGTTGCCTCGTTATTTGGGTCCATGGCAGGTCTTAGATACAGTGGGTTCTGATCCATTTGGACCGTCATACGTCATCGGCGTTCCACTGCATCTGCAGACCTATCCAGTCTTTCATGCATCCAAGCTGCTCCCCTTCACCGCAGCTTATGCGTTCCCCGACCGGCCTCCTCAGTTTGGTCCACCAATCCTTGGCAAGGGATATGACGTGGAGTCCATTGAGGACGAGTGGGGCACTGGCCCTTCCAGCCTCATACTGAGGACAAATGGTTTACCCAGAAGGAACTTCTCAAGACAGCAAAGTCTGTAGTTTTATGTTACGAGGCGGCCAAGAAGGGAAACCTTCCTCGGCGATCTCCTCGTCTACACCCCTAGCGCAAAGGTCCTCGCTCCCCGGGGGGGTAAGTCTGCAATGGCTTGCTGATTTCTACTGTCGAGATCTGACTGTTGTACAGTTGCGTCTTAGGGTCAGATTTGTAATTTTATTTGTGTCAGGGACTAACCGCCAGTTTAGTCTTCAGAGGAATTCATGAGGGACATATCCGCAATTTCTGGGAAAATTGCAGACCCGAGTTCCCCTTAGCCGTTATTGCCCTTAGCAGACCCGGGCTATCACTGAGACAGCCGGCCCATCCGGGCCCTGGGCTGTAGAGATGGAATAGGCGCCGTATAGCCGGGTAGGGCCCAGGCCGAACAGGCGAAACTGATGTGGTACCGGTCCAGTAGGTCTAGGTCTAGAGTAGGCTAGTCTATTAATAGGACTGAGCCGGTAGGTTAGGGACTTTTGCCGTTTCATTTTTGCGATACAGTGTTCTGAGCCAAGCAAGTTTGCTGGTGGTGATGGTCTACAGGCGGCATCCTGAGACCCTCTTCGTGGACGGCAGCCATAGCCAGTTTGCCTGTGTTTGCCATAGCTGGGGCACCCTCTGCGCATCTACCCCTGAGGGTATCTGCGATTGGCTGGGCTGTTCTGAGGCACTTCACTGAGTGTATGTGGGTGGACCACTGTCGCCCTTCGCTCCCCGGAGATTGTCAGGGTTTCGTCAGTGGTGTGGCAGCATAGCTGCCGTCTTCTTGGTCGGAGTTACTCATCGGCACTAAAGACTTCATCGCGATTCATGTTCTTCATCTGGATGGCTGGCGCTGGCCTCGGGAAGGCGGATTCTGTGTTGCGCTACTAACTGGGTGTGGAATAGAGAGTGGTGTGTGGAGTTCTGAGGGTGGCGAGACACTGGGATAAACTCTGTAACGACTATTGGTTTGAGTTGGCTCATCATCAGTGTGATTCCGATTCTTCTCCTCGCAGGTGTCTTCTTGTGATTGGTTGTTGGGAGTCTGTCAGAGAGTGAGAATCGCTGTGTGTCTCTCCCCATCTGTGCATGGTTGAATTCCGCTGCTTATCTTTGTCTGTGTGCAGTTTGGACTCTGTCTCCTCTCCCCTTTGTCTGGTATGTGTATGGGCGTGTGTCAGACACTCTGTGTGTGAGTGGCGAGAAAATCGTCAGACAACCAAGTTCATAACATGTGTGTGTGTGTGTGTGTGTGTGTGTGTGAGAGAGAGAGAGAGAGAGAGAGAGAGAGAGGCCAGAGGGTCAAGAGTGAGAGTTCGTCTTCGGGTGTGCTTGCTGGCCTCCATAATCACACAGCTTGCTGTACGCGGACTTGTTGAGTTGTCATATCACGTGTTGCTTTCCGTCTCTTGTATACTGAAGTGTGTAACTCAGGTGTGGGATGATTTGTTGGTTTGAAGTCTGGTCTCTCATTACAATCAAACCTATTGGCAGCGTTCTTATCACTGTTCTGTGTGCTGTGTGGTTTGCCCTGTTGGCCATGTGGTTCTTTTTGTAGTTAACTCCACAAATGCGTACAATGCTTGACAATCCCCGCGTAAGAGAGATGCTCCAAAGCCCAGACTTCATTCAGCAGATGCAGGTGGGTTGCCCTCTGGTATTGTGTTTGCATTTAGCTTTGATCATTCACACGTCGACAGGAACAGTTGGCTTGTACCCTAATTGTTGTCAGATAGGGAATGGATTTCTGTCTTTTTCGATGAGGTTTGAAATATGGCTTCCAGTGCGCTGACCTCTTTTCGTTGGTAGTTTGAGACATCATTCCCATTCCTCTTATGTTTGGTTTGGTGTATTGTACGACTAGTTCACCATACCTGCAAAGTAAAGATGCTTAGGCCCTTTTGTCTCTTATGTGCAGAAGTCTGAGCTTACCAGGTAGTTGCCTGGGCCGGACTCAAAATGGGCCCAGTTGCTTCTGAGGCCGCGACCTTCACTTATGGCCAGCCTGGACTTGCTTGCATGGTGGCCTGCCATGCCCTTAGGTACCGTCATTCTTGTTGTTGCGTCCCTTTGAGAGCCCTCTCATACTGTGCAACCAATTGGGGCACACACTTGACCCTTTTGTAAACCACCTCTCTTTTCTTGGATGGATCAACATGATGCCTGAAGCAGACTTGAAACTGCAATTGAGATTCAGTTGTCTTCCTGTCCCTGGTGGCTGGCCCACATGATTGGAGGAAGCATGGATCGATGAGGAGAAAACTGATTGCTCTTTGAAAAGGGCAAAAAACTTGAAAAATGTTTTGTCGAATTAAAAACTGGGTGAGGAAGAAGGTAAGAAGGGACATCAATCACATGTGTATTGGACCTTCAGGATCATATCCTACATGTCGAAGACAGTCCATGGTCTTTGTAGTATTGTCGGAAACTCTGACGACTTAACCCATGCCAAATCACCAACCTGGAAAGTAGGTATCAGTCTATGCTGATTGTCTGATTCTATCATGGCCCTCTGATATTTCTGTAGCTCTCTACAGTTCTCTGGAACACTCGAGGGCCTATTCAAGATTTCCAGGTGCTGACTGTGTTTTAGAGTGTGCAAGCAGAAAATGTAAGGGGGTTGTGGGTTCCCATCCTAAATGCACTTGTTGGGTGATCAACCTGTGACTCAATGGACAGCGTTATTAACTTATTATACAGCCGAGCTATGGCTGTGTAATCATCTGTCCAGCGTGGCCATTATCTTCATGGTGATCCTTGAAGTTATCTTCAGTTCTGACCTTAGCTAAAGTCCTGCTACAGTTCACTTGTGAAAAGCACATCCCTATCACTTTAACCACCAGTACCTCCACGGTTTTAGGCCGTTAACATGGTGGCTGAATCGGTCCGCCGTGCGGGTCCATATGCATTTGCATCAGAGGGGGCCTAAGACCCACTGGGGTACTGGTGGTTTTAGTTTTGGGTAAAATGAGATCCTTTATCCAGTCATTGGTGAACCTTCGGCTGGACGGAAGGAAGCGTGAGTGTGTTTCATGATATAATATTCTATTGCCGGTGGAATAGGAACCGACGAACGCTCCCCAGATCGGAAATGGAGCCAGGGACATAAGGACCTGTTTAAAAAAAGTACAGGTATTCTGACCGTACGTTGTATTCGGGGGAAGAAGGTAGCAAGTTCTTGTTGAAGCATCAGCTACCACATTATACTTTCCTTTTCTCATTCTGTAGGATGAAACTGTGCATGTTTATGACTTGTGTCTAACACTTGACAGCATCAGAATGTGTGGGCTGTGTCTTGCCTATGGCGTAATGCTTTCAGTATCTCAGTGTCTCAGGGCCATATCAGCTGACTGCATAGAACTCCCTTTGATAGGTGGAATTTGCGCAAGTTTTGAGATTATATCTTTTGAAATGTGTTCTCAATTGGTCTCAACTTACCCCCCTCGAATTCCTGTAGCATTGTGATATCCCATACTGACTAGCAGTAAATGGCTTGTTAGGTATTGCAATCTTTAGAATTGGGTAGTTAGTGAGGGTCGTGCTTGAAAGCTTGCCCGTGCACGATACTCCATTCCCAAGGCGTATTACGTCGTGTAAGATCAGTCGATGGACCAGTATCTATATATTGTAGTTCTCTAAGAATGATCTATGCAAGTGCTTGAGCCCACTCACACACGTTACTCTCCTGGCCATACCCATGAAAGATCTGATCAGAGGCACAGAGTGCAATATCGGCCAGTTCTTAATGGCCACAGCTTTCTCATCCTCGGGCCTCAGACTGTCCTGAGCGATCTCATGGCCCAGATTCAAGGCTCTAAAGCGGCGAAACTCGCATTTTCTATATTGATCTTGTACTAGTGCTTTCGGAGGAGATCTAGGACTACATTACATGCTCTGGTCCTCCAACATCTAACTAAAGGCAAGGATATTGTTGAGATAGACACCAATGAACTTATCTGCGAAGTCGTGAAACACGCTGTTCGTAGCATGCTGGAAAATCCTGGGTGCATTGAGAGAGCCCAAACGGCATCCTGACAAACTCATAGAGACTAAAGCGTGTTTGGGAGGCTGTCTTGTGCTGATCCTCGGGTCTTATTTGGATCTGGTGCCCTAAGATATGGTGGTACCCTAACCTGATAGATCTATCTTACTGAATTACTTACATCTATGGAGTCCATCCAAGATGCACGGTAAGGCTCAGTGTTACGCACTGTGATGGCATTGAGGTTCCCTGTAGTCAATGTTCGTACTCGTGAGGTACTTCACCTCATCGGTTCCTTCAATTGCGTGCGTAGTCCAGAACGAAAACCTTGTGCTTGTTGGCCAACGATCATGTCAAATGGTATTTCACCGCTGAGCAGAACAGAAAACGGGTGCCTAATCTTTGACTTTGCATGAGAGAAGGAGAGCATGCTAAATTCTTAATGCAGTCCAGAACAAAAACCTTGTGCTTGTTGGCCAACTTCTATACTACAAGTCTACTTAGTGGCTGCATCCTGTCTGTAAGGAACAGTTTCATGACACCGGCTTGACTGATGTAACGTTGAGTCAATCCTATATTACATCACGGGCGTTTACTGCTGGTCAGCTCTCCCTTTGAATCTTTTGCCGTAGTTACCCATGGGGCCATAGCTTTTTTGGCAATGTCGCCGTCAACTCTTTTAAGGATTCGGTCACATCTTGAGAACATAGCATCTCCTGGTCAGACTGTGACTGGGGGGTAACAACAAGGTAAGTAGCTATGAGGAGGGAGTGTCATGCAAGCTGCCGCCCCTCTACTACGGACCGCGGCCTATTCTCAAGGCACTAGGTGATGAGTCTTGTGGAGCCGCCACATAGTGGCTGTTCCTCCACATCTGTGTAAGTATCAGGTGTTTCATTTATCTGAACTTCATACTTGCACTAACTTAGATGAATGTCCCAGCAGCTGTATTGTGAGCCTGTGATGCACTCTGTGCAGAACCCTAGGTTCTTTCTAGCTCGAAGGGACCTTGCTTCTGGGTCGGTCGGAGTGCGATGACCCAGACATAATTGGCCTGAGATTTGTACTGTTGACTGAGTATTGCTGCTTGATGGTCTGATTTCCTGAGACTTCCGTGTTCTGTGCAAGCTTGGTGTTTGCTTTCATATCCCTAAGTCACCATGGGATGATTGCTATGCAGAGTGCTAACTGTGTGCTTGCGATGTGTTTTCTGTCCCCCTGCAAGGGGTAGAATGAAAATAGGGAAACCTTAGGGCCAAGACTGAAATTGGGTACAGGGCGCAGTTGTAGAAAGGCCAGGACGGACAGGCACACACAAGTAGAATTTGGCTAGTACTTGATAGGGGATTCCACCTGTTCGGGTAGGCACGGCAGAGGTTCGGTAGGCTGAGAAGGACCTGGTAGCTTCCAAAAGGTCACAAGTAGTGAGGGCCCATATGCCTATATAGCGTGGAAGCTAGATCTAGGCCCTGAAGTAGGATTACAGGCTGCAATAATGTTCCCGCCAAAAGGTAGAAATGCCTCAGAGGCCTAGCACAATGGAAAGACAGTCGTACCACAGGCAAAGTGAGGCCAGAGGCCGACTTGCAAAAGTATATCATTGGGGCACAATGAGTGAAGCTGTATCCTTCCAGGCACTCGTACCTCTGCTCTGCGCAGAGGGTGAAGCTTGGCACAACTCTGCTGAGTGGTGGAGCTGGAGGGTGGACAAGAAGAGCTCCATGGCTATGGAGTGGTAGACGGGGGGAGAAGGCCTAGGCTATTGAGGTAGACGGTGAAGTGTCTCAGGCCAGGATACAGAGAAGGTGTAGAGGATGAGAATGGGGGAGAGAGGAAACAGCAAGAGAAATTCACCGTAAGCGATCTTCACTTCTATGGCTAACCCTTCATCTAGAAGGCGCCTTAACCCTTCATCTAGAAGGCGCCTTAACCCTTCATCTAGAAGGCGCCTTCCGGGTGCCGGTTGGTTTTGAACTTCATCCGAGAGTGTAGCTATCGTGGAATGAGATGGGAGAGGCATAGTAGTGATTGTGTTGTCTACGTGATGAGTATGGATGGCCCGCCATAGTGGTAGTTGCAGCCGACAGAAGAGAAGTGAGCGTATTGCCGAAAGGAGGGCTGTTTGACTGCTGGCAGCAAGGGGGAATGCTCGGGCTTTTCATTTGTTCTTTTGTTATTGTATTTAATTGGAAGGGAGAAGAAGTGAGAGGGAAGACATTGTTTCAGCTTGTGTAACAGCTTGTACTCTTTTCTTGATTCCGTTCCGCCCTTTCTCTCTCTACACTTCTGCTTTTGAGTTTCAACAAGTCTTGAATTTTCTCGCAATCGAGTTTTCCGTTTTGAATGTAGGATCAAATAGTGGAAAAGACGAAAAATGATAGAAAAGCCTCTGTTCTTGCCCTCGCCAATTTTGTCCCAATTTTGTGCCCTTGGGCAATGATGTGTAAATGTATCACAGGATATGGTACATGCCCGGATTTCTGCTGGAAATTCTAAGTTGCATGAGAGTGTGGTGTGTACGAAGTTCAAACATGTGTCGAGCGTCTTGAGTGCGGCAATGACTCTTTTAATTTCAGAGAGCATGCATTCCTTTATGACATACGCAGTGAAATTAACTTCGGATGCCTGTTTTCTGTCTCCAATGGGCCGTTTCTGTTTGTGTGTTTGTTGTTTTAGCGGATGTTTCAAATGCAGAGCCTCTGGGCTCCACAGCTCCAAGCACTGCAAGGCTTAGGTGGAGCCATGTGAGTTGGCTCACCCCTTTCCTTCTTTGCCAGAAAATAATGATCTCTCGGCCTCTGGAAATGAAGTTGCTGACTTCTTTGTCCCTGCATGTTGGATGTTGAGGCACATTCTGACAGGGGCAAGATGGTCGGTTGTTTTTGGGGCCCATGAAAGCTCGAGGATGGCAAGGCTGGTACATGCTGAGTTGCAACGTGGTCATTTGGGGGTGTTCTTTTTCCCTTTGTTTTTCTTGTTTCTTTCTTTATCCCGTTTTTTTAAACAGAAAACGGAAGGATTCGGGTCCTAAAGACAGCAATGCTCTGTCTTTGACTTATAGCTTCGGCCAAATCAAAATTCTGCGGAGAAAGTCAGGCTGCAGTGTCCTAGAGGCACAAGCCAAAGTCCTCTTGTCAATAGCCTAAAGGGCCCAGTCTTCAGACTGGATTATCTAGGGCGTGAGAAAGTCAACCCAGGCCTTGAGAAAGTCAACAGTCAGACTCTACCAGGTGCAGCAGTAAACGAGTCGAAGATTTCTTAAGAAGCCGACGGTGGCTACATGTGACACATCAATCCAGAGGCTGACAAATTGTCTCCAGATGCCTTCAGGGCATGGGTCCAGGCAGCACCACACAGGATGCAGGGAAGGCTACTCAACGCTACATATCTGGCCTACTGCCAGTCGTTCATTCGCCCTGGTTCATGCTACTTGAGCGCTGCTGTGTGCTAGGGGCTAGAGAGAGAGAGAGAGAGAGAGAGCAGGGACTTAGTGACTATTCTAGGGAGGCCATGCCACTAGCTTCGGACTCAATACTCTTCTGGTGACAACTGTGGATTTTGGGAGACTTATTATTCAGGCGTTGCAGAAGGGCATTCACGCTCTAGTTCTCTCCACTCCTCGTCTCCACCTCTCCTCCATCATTTCCATAGTCTATGATTTGCTCCCCAGGAGTATTTACTCTCTAGTTCTCCCTCTCTCTCCACTCCTCGTCTCCATTTCTCCTCCACCATTTTCATAGTCTATGGTTGTGCTCCCCATGAGTATGTTCTCCTCCTTCCACCCTCCTGTATGATGATTGCGTGAGATGCAGTCTTGAGATTGATGAGTCAGGCATGGTATTTTTAGTCTTCCGCGTGCATTGTGTTGTGATGGCATGTGTCTTTCTGCATTTTGGCGATTCCTTGGTTTTAACACTGAGCCCATCTTTTGGCAGGCAGGTGTGTGTGTGTGTGTGTGTGTGTGTGTGTGTGTGTGTGTGTGTGTGTGTGTG